AGGTGCTGGTTAGTAGACTGACTCAAGCCTGTCCTGGGATATGCTCTGAGCTGTGTTTCTGAAGCCCCTGGGTTGGATCCATGACTGTCCAGTGTGACAGGCCAAGCCTTATGTGACTGATGTGACTGAGCTCCCACCAGTTGAGAGGGGTCCTGCGATCCTGTGCCCCGCCTTGCCTCTCTCAGCCCCATGGTTACTCTCCTTATTTCTTTTTACAGACAGTTCATGGGTTCCACCCCATTCCTTGATGGCCAGTCCTGCCCTGACACCAGCTACCCCACCACAGCCACTGTCCCCAGCTTCTTCTCCAAGAGCAGCAACTTTGCTCAGGTAACAGCACTGCACAGGGCCCTGAGCCATCACTGTGGCTGCCAATCTTCAGCAGGACTGATGGGACAGGGATTCAAGGCCACTCTGGGCAGGGAGGATCAGGCTACCCAGACTGGTCTTGGCATCCTGGAATTGAGATCTGCTGTCACTGGCCTTTGGGACTTTGCCGCAGAGTTGTACCTGAAGGTGACTTTTCCCTAGCCGGGGGGCTGTATGAGGAAGGCTGGAGGCTCCCAAGGTCTGTGGCTCAGGGGGTAGATCGTCTGTCCTGTCTTACACCTGCCTCACACCCTACACTGTGGTGGGTTTCCCCACAGGTCCTACACAAAGCGTCCATGCCCCATGCAGCATGTGCGCGTAGCCAAGCCCCCCACAGATCACAGGACAGGGTCTGAATCCCATTCCCCATGAGTCACAAGGGCATCCGCCCCACCAGCCCCTCACTGCCACCTAAGAACTCACACCAGGGAGCTGTCCCAGAGGGCTCTGCTCAGCAACAGGGCAGTGGCATATGTCTCTGTCACCAGGTCTCTGCAGAAGTGTAAAGAATGTTGTGTTATCAGGCTCCTCAGAACACAGTGAGGAAGCCAGGCCCGCCAGCCCACATTTCGACTGCCTTTCTGTCTTAGTCATGGTTCTAAAGGACAGAACTGGTGAATGAGTATATAATATATCATACATGTGCATAGCTACAGATACAGACACATGCAGCCATTTAGTAGTGTGGCTTACGGGCTGTGACCTGGGTTGTCCTAGTCCCGAAGCAGGATGTCTCAGCAGTCCCAATCCAGCGCTGGGATCCTGAAGAAGTGGGCTCTCACCAGGGAAGGAGTGCCTTAGCCGCAGGGTAGACGAACCGGCCAGGGAGAGGGCAAGCAGGCAGAGAGCAAACGATTCCTTCTGTGCCCTTTTATGCAGGCTGCCACCAGAAGGTGTGGCCAGGTTAGGGTCCAGTCAAGAGAGTCTTCTACAGGTGGGCCCAGCTGCTTGGGCTCGTTGTTCCAGATGTGGTGAGCTGGCAAGATCAGCCCTCACATTCTGTCCCTGTATTGTCTCCCTGTCTGCCCTCTGTCTTTGTGTCTCTGTCTCCATCTCTTCTGATGCCAGAGGCCTACAGCTGCCTCCTCCCTTTGGTTAGAACTCCCTGAGGCCAGGCCCCCACGAACTGTGCTTATGTGTTCTGCCCCTTGCCTGGACCCTGTTTGTCCCAACACATCTGAAGACATGGTGGCTCTCATGGCAGATAGCCACATCCATCCAGTGGGTGAGCATTGATTGACCACTTGCTATATGTGTGCCCTGCACACACTGTCCCCAAAATGCCTGTGGAGGTGCACACCCCATGCCTGTGCCCTGTTCACAGAAGGTTGGACCCAGGGTTGAGGGGCCCAAGCTTGTCACCTGCCTTCACCTCCCCCACCTCCCTGGGCCCCTGGTGGCCTTGAATTCTATGGAACAAGAAGGAGCCAGACTTGAGCCAAGTGTCACAACCTAGCAGAAGGGACATGAGGAGTGCTCAAGTGAGGAGATCTGGACCGGCTAGGTGTGGTGCCAACCCCACCCGTCTGAGTTTAGAGTTTTTACCTGCAGGCTGCAGGCCTCTGCTCGAGCAGACACTCCCTCACTGCAACCCTTGTGGCCTCTGCTCACTGCAACAGTGTGAGCCTGGAGTCGGGACAGAAAACCCAGCTGTGCCAGGAACCAGCAGAGAAGAAACCCTCAGGCAGCTGGAAACTAAACACAAGCCCCAAGTTTTTTGGTAGAAGAAGCAAAAAGAGAAAAACTGTGAACCATGTGATTTAGCCCTCTAAGGAAGAAGTCCTTCCGATTCCTGCCCTTGGGAACCAGAAGGAAGGGGAGAGTCTAGGGTGCTCCTGGGCTACACCTGAGAGTCTGTCTCAAAGCTACAAGAAAACTACAATAAGAAAAGAAACAGAAGAAATCCAAAGTATTGTCTGCCATTCTGTGTCTTCCTCAGATAGTCACCTCTGATCCCTGCTGTCTTCTGCTCAGGCTCTTTTCCCTCTGCTGAAAGCTGTGGGAGTCCCCCCTCCCCCCAGCTGCTGGCTGGCCCCGTCACATCATGCAGGGGTCACTTCAGGCTCCCACAGTCTTTTTTTTTTTTTTTAAAAGATTTATTTATTAATTATGTATACAGTTTTCCCTGCATGTATGTTGGAGGCCAGAAGAGGGCACCAGATCTCATTACAGATGGTTGTGAGCCACCATATGGTTGCTGGGAATTGAACTCAGGCCCTCTGGAAGAACAGTCAGTGCTCTTAACCTCTGAGCCATCTCTTCAGCCCCCTCCCACAGTCTTGAGTTCCTGGCAGTACCTCTTGGAGCCTTGCCTTCCTTTTCAGCCAGCCCCAGACCTCCACCACCTGCTTCTACAAGGAAAGGGCCCCATGAATCCCTGCTCCGCCTTCCATCTCCAGGTGGCTTGGAGCCCCTACCCCATGGGCTCTGATGGCCCTGCTCGGTGACCGGAACAGCTCCACAGACCCCGTGGGGATAGCCTACCCTGGGCTGTGCAGGTGCGTGGGTACTCAACGCCTGGTTTTGTCTCCATTTTTGAGTTGTTGGGTTTTTTGTTTTGTTTTTTCATGTTTGTTTTTTAAGTTTAGACATCACGTGACTCCAAAGCCACCATATCACCCATCCATGAACGACCACCTCTCCTCTTCAGTCCCCGCACCTAAGAATCCTTTTCCTGTCTTTGGGTTCTTCTGCTCTGGACATTTCCTTTGGTGGAGCCCCACACTGTGGGGCCTTTTGCGTTTGGGTCCCTCCGCGCTGTGGCCTGTGTCGCTACCTGTCATGGCTGACAGTGCTCCCCATGTCCGTGTGCACTCACCTGCAGAACTTGTTTATCCATTTGACCATCGTGGGTGAAAGAGTTTCCACAGGGCCTGGTTTCCAGGCATGTGTCCAGGAATGGACGTGAGGGCCAGGTGACCGTTGGAGCTGTTAGCGGAAGCTTCTGTTTCCAGGGAGGGGTACAGATACACTGACAGCTCTGGAGGGCAAAGCCTGGGACATTTGGGAGTGAAGGGTGCCAGAGGGAAGGGGGAAGGACCTGCTGTCTAACCCCCTGTCTTTCCTCTGCATTCTCTTTAGGCCTCTCTTGGCCTGTACCCCTAGAATGCCCTAGGGCTCCTCAACATTCCCAGTGCCCATCCAAGCCCTGAATCTCCCTTGAGGCTCCTGGTGTGGGTGCAAAGCCACACAGACCCTGTATTCTTAGCCATGGCCCTGTACAGGTAGGATGGGGTCCTGTGTACACAGGTAGGCCTGCACCCCAGGCCCCCCACCACTTCCCTCCAAGATTGTGTATCCCGTAATGTATAATGTGCTCTCCAGGCTGGTTGCTGGGAAGCTAGATGAGCTCACGCTCAGGAAGGAGCGGTGCTGCCGCCTCCCACCTCCCGCCCTGCCCCTGCCCGGCGGGCGGCCGCATCGCATCGCATCGCATCGACTGCTCTGCAAATGTTAGTCTCAGGGATCAGAGGTCTGGCCTCTGCCTGCCCGACAGTTTACGGACATCAGGGAAGGAGAGCCAGAGAGGGGTGCTCGCTTACAGGAAGACATGCGGCTACTGCCATGTAGAGGTGGGCTGTGGGTTGTGGGGGGGACCCTGCACAGCGAGATCCACAGCACTGTGGCCCAGGCTATGTACAGAACTTTTAGCCACAGGGCGGGGCTTGTGGAGAGGCAGCAAGTGGGCAGGGCAGGGGAGATTGAGGCCAAAACCATTGAGAATCTGGCTTTCCCTGCTGGGGAGCCTGGTATGTGAGGCGGGTTTGCACAGTCCCTATCTGGCCTCTCCTGCCACAGTCACCAGGTACTCTTAGCCAGTCTCCAGCCCCAGCCTCCTGTGCCACGGCTTCTTTTTGTGTCTGATCCTCCATTTCATAGAGACATCTGTGGTTGGGTAAAAACTCACCATGACCCTGTGGGTCATTATAGTATCCCAGTATTTCTGCTATACTGTGTTGTTAGGATCCAGGCCCAGGAGTGGTTTGTTTGTTTGTTTGTTTGTTTTTCAGTTTTATGTGCACATTTGTGTGAGGGTATCAGATTCCCTGGAACTGGAGTTACAGACAGTTGTAAACTACCATGTGGGTGCTGGAAATTAAACCTTGGTTTTCGCTGGGGGTGGTGCACGCCTTTAATCCCAGCACTCGGAAGGTAGAAGCAGGTGGATCTCTGAGTTTGAGGTCAGCCTGGTCTACAGAGTCAGTTCCAGGACAGGCCCCAAAGCTACAGAGAAACCTTGTCTTGAAAAAAACAAAACAAACCATAAATAAATAACCAAAATAAAAAACCCTGGTCCTCCAAAGAGCAGCCAATCTCCCTGAACTCACCGAGTAGCTGAGGCAGACCTTGAACTCCTGATCTTCCGCCTTCAATTTCCCACATCTGATTTCTTTGGTGTCTGGGATGAACCCAGGGTTCTGTGGTACTCTCTCACTCTGCCCTCAGCCTTGTACCACACCAGATCCTGTATGTTTTGTTTTTTGAGACAAGGTTTCTCTGTGCAGCAGTCTAGGCTATCCTGGAACTCACTACATAGACCAGGCTGGAGAGATCCGCCAGCCTCTGCCTCCCCAGTGCTGAAATTAAAGGTGTGCACCACCACTGCCTGTTTTTTTTTTTTTTTTTGTTTTGTTTTGTTTTGTTTTGTTTTGTTTTTGAGACAGGGTTTTTCTCAGTCCTGGAAATAGCTCTTGTAGACCAGGCTGGTCTCGAATTCACAGAAATCCGCCTGCCTCTGCCTCCCAAGGCTCTATTCTTGTGTAGCCCAGGCTGGCCCTGACCTCCTGAGTGCCGGCTGAGAGCAGCTGGGGTGACCTGTGGGCTGCCTGCAGCCATCACAGAAGCCCTGCTTCTTTGCTCTGAGACCCCTGTGCGAGGCTAGCAACCCTCCTTGCCCTACTCTGTCCTTTTGTGGTGTTGAGAACCAAGGCCGGAGACACAGTGGGGCATTAAGACTACGGTCAGATGAGGGTCAGGTTGTCCCTGTAAGGGACACTCACCCCCACTGCCTCCATCAAATCCAAAGACCAGCTAGCCTGGGAGTCAGTGCCCTCTGGCCAGCCCTGCCACCCACTAGTGGCCATTATCAGCCCAGACCTCCTCATTAGCAATGTCCCATCATTGGGCTGTGTGTCTAGCTTGGCCCTGTCCATCCCTCCACCCTATTCCCAGCTCTTTCTTCTCCCAGACTGAGACCTCACAACCTGGATCAGAGACCCCTCCCTGCCACACCCTGAGTTCTCTCTCTCCTGGGAGAGCCCTCAAGCCCTTCACCTTTCATGCTTGGGTTGTTTTTGACTTCAGCTTCTTACTTGTTTCTGTTATTCTCAGTCCTCCTGAAATCGTGCCCTCTCGTTTCTTTTTAGCCTTGACTGTACTGGAACTAGCTCTGTAGCCCAGGCTGACCTTGTACTCAAGATCTACCTGCCTCTGCCTCCTGAGTGCTGGCCAATAGGTCTTTCTAAACTAGAGCTTACACAGCTGTAAAGATTGTCCTTTCAGTGTCCATTCACCAGCATGGGAGGATCAGGCGCTCCAGGTTAGCCTTGGCTGCATAGAGTGCATTTACAGACACAGGCAGCCCTCACCTCTCTCCAGTTCTAGAACACATGTCTCCTCGGAGGAAAGCGTGTCCCCTGACAGGTTATTCCATCTCGTCCCCAGCCCTTGGAGTCCTACATGGTGTGTGCTCTGTGTCCTCAAGGTTCCTCCAAGCCACATGTGCTGGGGTCTTTCCTGCTCATGCTGTGTGATATTCCCGGCTGTGGACCTGTGGACAAAGCGTCCTGTTCCCACCTTCCGTGCGCCGTGATTCTCTACTGGGTGCTCCTAATTTCCCCTGAGGATCTAGAAATGTGTTTGTGGAGTTAACTCCAAGCTAGTGAGTGCTTTGCCCTCTAGGAAGCTCCCTGGCTGCTTCCCAGAGTCCTTGGGCTTCAGTTCCCCACTCTCCTCAGCGAGTTCTGTTTTCAGTTTATTGAGATAGGGTCTTTCATTGTAGCCTGGGCTACTCTCCCAATCCTCCTGCCTCATCCTCTCGGGGTGATGACAAGGGTGCTCCACGGTGCCTGGCTTCACTCCGCTAACTAGAATTGACACTTTGCTCAGTGCCTGCACCGGTCTGCAATGCAGTGCAGGGGCTTCTGGGTAGGACTGATGTTGCCAGGGTTGATGAGGGCCAGGAACATGAGTCTGCTCTGTCTGCTGCTTCTGGGGCCTTTGTCCTGGGTGACCAAGGGAGTGGTCCTGACAGGATGGCCAGGGTTCTTGTCCCTGCATGGGACCCTGCTTGCTGGGCTTCTCAGCCTTCTTCCCAGGAGCTCTGACCCCTCTTCTGGGGTACTTCATCTTCCAACAGGAGAGGCCACAGTCCCCAGGGGCAGCTGTAAATGACTGTAGCCCCATGGGGGAATCACACCACTGTGACCCCCAGCTCCTTCAGGGACACCAGGAATGACCGTCTGTGGCCTGGGCTGAGGAAGCTTGAGGATAAGGATGCGGTTTGATGAAGGGCTGGGGAGGCTCCGCTTAGCTTAAGGGAGGAATAGAGGGGTGCCTTGGCCTCAGTTCTCCTAGCCCAACTTCTCACGGTGCCCCCCTCCAGCTCCTAATTCCTGTCATCCTCAGGGAGGAGGGTCACAGACAGGGTCTAGTGCTTCAGTAGTTCTGGGGAAACTGAGGCTTTGTCCTCTAACCCCAGTTGAACGCCCCAGGAGAATAGGACCAGACCAGGCGCTGGGCCCGGCACGGTGCGCCTTTGTTGACAGCCCTTCTGGGCCGGTCCGCCCCCTACAGTAATTCTCCGCACTCTGCCAGTAACTGCCCTGACTTACCAGGCAGGCATCATTTCCTGAAACTCAGCCCAGCCTTAGGGGAAGTCGGGAGCCGGTGACTAACCCTCATGCAAATGGGGCCAGCAGGATCACTGCTGCCTCCAGCCCGACAGAGCTGCTGAGCCTGCGGCCACCGTGGTCATGAGGCTGGTGCTCCCCGGCAGCTCTTCCAGGGAGACACGGCGGCCACTGCTCAGCGCCCCACACCCTGACCATGTCGCAGCTGCGCTTCTGGCTGCAGTTCGCCGCGCTCAACAAGGTAACCAGCCAGGGACCAGCAGGGCCACCCAGAGCCAGCTGTGGCGCCCCTGAGCTCCCACAGGTGGCAGAACCGGGGCAGGACGCCCCCAGCCCTGCCCAAGCTGTACTCTCCTTGGCGAGTCACAGTGAACGTGCCAGAGTTTTAGAGCAGTAGCCAGCACGGGGGTGACTGGGGAAGGGAGTCGAGGATGTTCTCAGCCCCTGTGGGATCTTTGTCAACACCTCTTCCTGGACTAGGGCAGAACTCAGTCTCAGCCAGGTCTCGTGGGGTAGGTAGAGCCAGGAGCCCGTCTTTCCTCTGGTCTCCCAGTCCAGAAGGGGTGGGGGGCTTTTTCCGAAGGGGTGTGTCCGACCGAGGGAGGGTCCCTCCTGGGCTTGGGAGCTGTCCGCTGTCTGACCTCTGAGTGGCCTAGGAGGGTCTAGCTAGGGCTTGCTCCTGCCAGTTCCCCTCCCCCTAACAGGCCATCAGATGCTGCCGCCAGTAACCACAGTGGGGACCCTCCTAACCTCCTCATTTGTGCCACCCAATAGAGACCCAGCAGAGAGGGACTACATGGTATAGACTTTAGAGGGGCCTCGCTGGGAACCCTATCCTCAGATCATCCTGCAGGGGAGGCCCAGGACATTTCCAGCGGGTGGGGGAGCTCACCAATGTGGGTCTGTGATTAGTTAATGTCCTGGACCCCTGGAAACCCTGGCCCTAAGGGAGGTCGTGTCAGGTTGTTTGTCCTTCACTGGCTTTGCTGGCGAAGTTTTAGACTGGCGTTGAAGGTGCCAGGTGAGTGCTCTTGCACCACGCCAGCACTGGAGGACAGGGGTCTGAGGTCAGCAGGGGCAATGTGAGACTGGCTTAGAAAGTCAGGGTTCCAGGGTGGCGTGGCGCTCCTCAGAGCCATCACTTTCTGTCCCTGTGTCGTGCGCATCACACTGAGTGAGGGGCTTTCTGCTGACACCACAGTGGCCTGCCGTGTAGAGTGCCTCAGTTTCCCCTTACTTCCTTTCTCCGTCCTGAGATGCCTCAGGACATAAGCCATCCTACCCTCTCAGTCTGCCTCCCTGGGCCAGCCTTAATTGACAGTGTCCCCATCTTGGGTTGAGGGACAGGGTAGTTGTTACTCAGGACCCACCCTAGGACCAAGACTTCCACCCGGGTGGTACAGCTTCATCTCCCTGGCATTCTCTGAGCACACCTCTGTTGCAGACAGTGGCCCAGAGAACCTGCTGTGCACCCTGGGAGTGCTCACTGTCAAGACCCCAGAGTCAGGGTGTGTGAGGGGCTCTGTCTGTTGTGATCCTAATGCCTCAGGGCAGACTCCTGCCACAGGGGTGCAGGGTAGTTCTGCCCAAGCCGGGCCTTCAGGATCCTCACCCTGGCCTCAATCCCTCCTCTGTAAAGCTGGAGAGGTGGGAGGGGCATGGAGACCCCCAACCTGCAGAGTGCTTTCAGGGTCTCTAGGTGGAGATGGTGGCTCACACCTGTCATCTTGGGAGGCTGAGGGAAGATTACTATGAGTTTGAGGCCAGAGCAAACAAACCTAAGCTTATTGGGTTTGATCCGTATTCCATTTAGCTCACTCATGTGAAGTGTGTGTATTTAATGACTTCTAGAACATTCCATCCCATCAGACAAAATCCCATCCCTGTTAGCCATCACTGCACTCGTCCCATCCACATGTCACTGAGTGCCATGTCTTCCCAGTTACTCCATGTTGTGCTGTGTGGGACTCCACTGGGTGGCAGGCTACTTTGTCACTTGCCTGAGGGCCCACACCAGCTACTGCCTCACCCATGCCTTCTCCTAGGACCCCTCATGCCTCGAGGACCTCTCCAATGCCTCCATCTTCTCGTCTTCTGTGGATTCCCTGTCAGACATTCCTGACACGCCTGACTGCATGCATGTCGACAGCCTCAACGAGGTGTCCACCATCTGGGATGTCAGCACCACCTCAGCCACCCCTGGCAAGGTCAGCAGGGCCAGGGCAGCACCTCCAGAGCCACTCTGGTGACATGGGTGGAGCAGGGAGGGCTGTGGCCTGTCCTCCTTGGGCCTGAGTTATAAGGGGCGCTGAACTTCAGAAGCTGGAGGAACAATCTTCACAGCCTAGAGGCCCACTACACATCCAGATGACCCCGCTGGTGTTAGGAATATTTCCTATGCGAGCTCTCTGATGATGCTAAAATTCCCAATCAAACCAAGCCAAATCAAAACAAGCCAAATTAAAAAATATCCAGGTTTAATGGGAGATCTGCGCTCTCGGGTGGCCCCGAGGGGGAAACCGGGAAGTTGCAGGAATGCGACCCCCGGGAGGAAAAAAGGGGGACCACATGTTCTTTTGGGGGATCACTTAAGTACCCCGAGTACTCCCTGGGGGTGGGGTCAGGACCTGGCCGCTGGGATTTGAAGTCCAGACCAGGCCTGGGGGCTGGGACCTACGCTTCCAACCTAACAACTGGGTCTCAGATGTGTGTCTGCTGGAAACAGGTGCAGCCAAGAGAGACACAAAGCTGTCTGAGTTTAATTTTCTTTGGTGTCTGTTAGTTACTGAGCTGGAGTCTCACACAGCCTGGGCTGCTCTCAACTCTGCCAAGGCTAGACCTGGCGATGGTGGCGCAGGCCTTTAATCCCACACTCGGGAGGCAGAGGCAGGCGGATCTCTGTGAGTTCGAGACCAGCCTGGTCTACAGAGCTAGTTCCAGGACAGACTCCAAAGCCACAGAGAAACCCTGTCTCGAAAAACAAAAAAAACAAACAAAAAAAAACCTCTGCCAAGGCTGACCTTGAACTCCTGATCCACCTACCTCAGCCTGCAAGTCTGACTCCAAAGGCAATTTTTTTGTTTTTGTTTTTGTTTTTCGAGACAGGGTTTCTCTGTGGCTTTGGAGCCTGTCCTGGCACTAGCTCTGTAGATCAGGCTGGTCTCGAACTCACAGAGATCCGCCTGCCTCTGCCTCCCGAGTGCTGGGATTAAAGGCGTGCACCACCATCGCCCGGCTTCCAAAGGCAATTTAGGTTACCAATTCTCACCCCAAGAACTCTGCCCTCGGTGGACCCCAGAGGTGTGGATAAATACAGATGTGACCGCAAGGGGCTGCTCCTGGCCTGGGCGGGTACAGTCAGTGCTAAGATTCCTGCTAAGATTCCGGCAAGGTCCAGGGTGCCTCACAGAGAGCACCTGGCCTCGTGTTCAGGACGAGGAGACAGTTAGCTGATGGCTCCTGACACACGAGACCCCAGACAGTGTCCCCTTCTCTCTCGCTCTACACACTGTGGATGGGTTTCCACATAGACAGGGCTCCAGAACTCAGCAGGCACGTGACTGGGGTGCCCAGGCTGTAGGGTGCAGTGCCCCCAGAGGACACTAATGGCATGGATGGTCATTCCAACTTGGGGAGCCCTTGGCATGGATGGAACCTCACTGAGCTTGACCTGGTCCCTAATTCTAGTGATACAAGGGAACCCCAGTCTAGGCCTTCCTGGGATCTTCCGAATGGAAACTTGTAGACTTTGAGAGTGTAGGTTAGGAATGTTCCCAAGAGTCCCCAGATGGGAGGCCTCATGCAGCTCTGAGGTGAAGGCCAAATTGTGTAGTTGGCAGGGGGCCCTCAGGACAGTTTGCCCCTGCGTGCTGCCCCCCTGCTGTGAGGAGCTGCAGTGACTGTTCCCTTCTGAGATCAAGGCCACAGGGTACTGCCCACCCCGCCCAGGGCCTTAGGCTGCCTTGGACCAAGCCCCTATCTGAAACCTAACACCCTGCACTGCCCCAGCCCAGCAGGCCGGAACATGACTCAGCCTTCCAGGAACCTCCACCAGTCTGTTTGGGTTTTTGTTAATTTAAGAAAGGGAAAAAAAAAAAAAAAAAAAAAAAAAAGTAGAAGAAGGCAGGAGGGCTGAGTGTGGACTTGTAACCTTCCCAGCTTCCGCTGGCTTTCGACACCCCTGGCTTTGTTCCCAGCAGAGCAGGGGACGTGTGACAGTGAGTGTCCCTGCAGTGCCCCAGAGACTCCTGTCCTCCCTCAAGGATGCTGAGGCCAGGGCTGAAGGTCGCCTGCCATCAGGAGCAGTCGGTCCCTGCTCTGCCAGTCAGTGCAGAGTGCTCCCCTGGCCTGCCCAAAGCCTGGGGTCCATCCTCTGACCACATGAACCAGGTGTGCTGCTGTCTCTGTAACCTCAGCCCTCAGGAGGACTGGGATTTTAGGGTTTGAGGCCAGCCTGGGCTACATGCCTTTATTTTAAAAAACCAGCCAAACAAAGGGGACTGTGCTGTCATTACGGGCTTTATTCCCAGCATCTACGTGATGGATCACGGCTGTAACTCCAAGTTCAGGGGTACTGGCACCTTCTGGCCTCCACAGGCCTACATACACAGAATGCACTCACACGCATGTATGGAAAGCACCCATACACATAAAATAAATAAGTCTTTAATTCCAGCACTTGGGAGGCAGAGGCAGGCAGATCTCTGTGAGTTCGAGACCAGCCTGGTCTACAAGAGCTAGTTCCAGGACAGGCTCCAAAGCTACAGAAAAACCCTGTCTGGAAAAACCAATAAATAAATAAATAAACAAATAAGTCTTTAAAATCTATCCTTATGTTTAGATTGGGGAATTGAGAATCCGTTTGCAAAGAAAAGCCACATCCCCTGTGATGGCTACAGACTCAACTCACTGGCCAGGCCACACCATTTGTCTATCTTGACCCTTCGACACTTGTGGCTATGTGTCCTGCCCCAGGTCACTATGATGAGGCTCAGGGCCATCCATCTCTCCTGTAAAGGACTCTGGCTTGTGATATTTGGAGTATGATCACAGTATTGGGGACATTGAGGAGGTCTTGCAGGACCGTTCCTCCTCAGCCACTAGACAGACAGGCCCTCCCAAGGGAGTCTGCACTCTGGGATGTTTGCCTGCCTTTTGTCTGCTTCTCCTTTGCCCAGAGGCTACTACCTCATGGTCCCCCACATGCCACAGGGACACAGTCTGTCCTCAGTCTGTCCTACCAGGATCTGCCCCATCCCAGGTTGGAGGCCGTTGGCCCTGAGAATGAGCAGTGTTACCTAAGGATACAGGTACTGGCTTAGGAGGCCATGGCTCACATCCTCCCCTCCTGTCCCCCACAGCTGTTACTGCCTAATGGGCCATTCTCGGCTCTTGAAGATCCAGTAACCCCCCTCTCCAACACCCCTCTTCTCATCAGCTACCAGGTAAATTGGGGTATCTCCTGGGGATCTAGAGAGAGGCTCTAAAGGCATCCACAGTGTCCAGGGCAGCCCTGCCCATTTTGCAGTTGGAAATCTGAAGCCCCACTTAGGGGAAAAGGTGGAGCCACCTCCCTCCTCAGCACTGTGCGCGGCCCACTCCGCGCAGCATGGCTGCTGCCCTGGGGAAAGCTGGGTCACTGCAAGTTAGGACAGACCCTAAAATGTCACACCCTGCAGTCACACAGCCAGCCTGAGGAGGAGGAGGGAGAAGAGGAAGAGGAAGCAGAAGAACTGGGCCATGCTGAGACCTATGCCGACTACGTACCGTCCAAGTGTAAGTCTGGGCCAGGGACAGGATAGAGATGCTTCCTAGGAAGACAGCTGTGTAAACCCGAGGGCTCATGGCCCCTCCCTGGTCCATAGTTCGGGCGTCAGGACAGAGTCGTGTGTGCAGAGTGCACACCTGGTCCATAGTGCGGGCGTCAGGACAGAGTCGTGTGTGCAGAGTGCACACCTGGTCCATAGTGCGGGCGTCAGGACAGAGTCGTGTGGGCAGAGTGCACACCTGGCATCCTGCTTGCTACTTCTACCCTATTTATTTATTCTGCGCCAACTCTGCCCTCTGTCCCCTCACCAGCCAAGATTGGGAAACAGCATCCAGATCGTGTAGTGGAGACCAGTACACTGTCCAGCGTTCCTCCCCCAGACATCACCTACACCCTGGCACTGCCCACCTCAGACAACGGGACCCTATCTGCTCTACAGCTGGAAGCTATCACCTACGCCTGCCAGGTGCCAGCCCCCCCAACCCCTTCCAGGCTCATAAGGAGGCCACCTGCACCTCAGGCCTGACTCACCTCTGCTCACCCACAGCAACATGAGGTCCTACTGCCCAGTGGGCAGCGCGCTGGGTTCCTGATTGGGGATGGAGCCGGCGTGGGCAAGGGCCGCACAGTGGCTGGCATCATAGTGGAGAATTACCTGCGGGGCCGGAAGAAAGCTTTGTGGTGAGTTCCTGCCTGGCCTGGTGTCCCAGGTGGGTGGGATAACATGAGACAGGCAGCATTGTGTCTGACCAGGTCTCTCCCCCAGGTTCAGTGCCTCCAATGACCTCAAGTATGATGCGGAGCGGGACCTGAGAGACATTGAGGCGCCAGGCATCGCGGTGCACGCATTGAGCAAGGTAGGGAGGTCATGGATGACCTTTACTAAGGAAGAAACTAAAGTAGAGGGGTTCCTGCACGTATCCCCACATCTGAACCTGTGCCCACAGATCAAGTACGGTGACAACACTACCTCAGAGGGTGTCCTCTTTGCCACCTACTCTGCCCTGATTGGAGAAAGCCAGGCAGGTGGGCAGCATCGCACACGCCTCCGCCAGATCCTGCAGTGGTGCGGTGAGGCCTTTGATGGTGTGGTATCCTGCAGCCAGTGGATGGATGGGCACGGAGAAGGGCAGAGCCAAGGGGCTAGAGCAGCTCAGCCTGGGAGTGGAGAGCAATGGAGGGACCAAGGCAACACTGAGGTCTTGGCACGCACTGACCTGTGGTTGTGAGCTCCCTGTTCAACTAGGCCTGCATCTTCACCTCAGATGCATAGCCCTTTCAGAACTGTTCTGATATCAGGGCTGAGCATAGGGTAGAACCTGCAAACTGTCCTTCCTCCGCACTTCTCCTGGTCTGGTCCTAGCAATCCTGTAGGCAACCAGACTCCCTATATATAGTGTTGGAGCCACTGACTGACTGTATGGACAAAGCTTGCGCATGCTGGGGCTCCTCCATGTGGGCAGCCCACAGGACCCAGGACACAGTGTATGCCCGTGGTGAATGCCGCTGGCCCTGCAGGGATGTACCAGGAGTGGTGGCCCTGAGCTTGCTGTGGCAAGAGCCTCTACCCAGTGTGTTCTTTCCTTGGTGCTATGGTTACCGTGTGCTCTGCTAAGCCATGTCCCCTTGGCGCACTGTTATTTTTTTTAGGCAGGGTCTCCCTCAGCAGGGGCTGCTGTGGCAGGCAGGCACCGCTAGGCCTGGCTTATGTGGTGCTGAGGATGGAACTCAGCTTCCTGTCTGCTGAGCAAGCAAGCCTCCATAGGCTGCCATTGCCCCACTCCCAGTGCCCTTTAACACCTACCGACAGGGGGCTGGAGAGATGGCTCAGTGGTTAAGAGCATTGCCTGCTCTTCCAAAGGTCCTGAGTTCAATTCCCAGCAACCACATGGTGGCTCACAACCATCTGTAAAGAGTCTGGCGCCCTCCTCTGGCATGTGGGCATACATGGAGGCAGAATGTTATATACATAATAAATAAATATTAAAAAAAAAAAAAAAAAAAAAAAAAACACCTACTGACAGAACACCTTCCATCCTTCTGGAGCATTCCTTAACCCAGCATATCCCAGATTGTGTTTGACGAGTGCCACAAAGCCAAGAATGCCAGTTCCACCAAGATGGGCAAGGCCGTGCTAGACCTGCAAAGCAAGCTGCCCCAGGCCAGAGTGGTGTACGCCAGTGCCACAGGTGGGACGGGGGCAGCAGCTGAGCTGGGTGGGCAAGCTCCATCACATATGTGGCCTCTGGTACACCTACACAGGAATGGGGCGTCCTGCCAGCTGTGCACAGAACTTTGATCTGTACCTTTTCTGCTTGGTGGCACCTGGGGCAAATATGGAGCTTCCTGTCTCCATGTCACCTTCTGCCTGACCTTGAGGGTACCCCTGGACACGGTCCCTAGGACTTCAGTTCTCTTCCCTTGACCTCCCCACTTCCCTGGGGTTATGACACTGTACCTCACTCAGCTCCCTGCTTCCAACCAACCCCTAGGTGCTTCTGAGCCCCGCAACATGATCTACATGAGTCGCCTGGGCATCTGGGGTGAGGGCACACCCTTCCGGACCTTCGAGGAGTTTTTGCACGCCATTGAAAAGAGGTGAGCCCCTGCTCTGCTTGTGGGGATGGCTGTCCCAATCCTGAGTGCCCTTGATGCACACATGCCATCCTGTCTCTCCCAGCACCTCCTGTCCTCTCAGAAAGATGAGCCCTTCTCCTAGTCCTCTGCCAGGCTCCCTCTGCCATACAGGTCTGTCCAGGCCTAGCCTTGTGTCTTTCTCATGGCCACAGGGCCTCTGCCATGTGCTATGTTTTACCCTCTGCTCATCTGTCTACAGGGGAGTGGGCGCCATGGAGATTGTGGCCATGGACATGAAGGTCAGTGGCATGTACATCGCACGCCAGCTCAGCTTTTCCGGGGTTACGTTCCGCATCGAGGAGATCCCGCTGTCCCCCGCCTTCGAGCAGGTCTATAATCGGGCGGCTCGGCTGGTAAGCTGGGGTAAACAGGGACCTCTGTTCCTCCTCCTAATCTGTGTTGCACAGTCATGCCATCCCATAGATGTTGTTTCTATAGTGGAGCTGGTGCTTTCCAGAGCCCGTGCCTGCACTGCTCTCCCGGGGCTATCTGGCCTGAGCCTGCACTGCTCTAGCTCTTTAGTTTTATTCGCTTTACTTTTGTTTGTTTTTCGAGACAGGGTTTCTCTGTGTAGCCCTGGTTGTTCTATATCTCTGTAGAGCAGGCTGGCCTCGAACTCATGGAGATCTGCTTATCTCTGCCTCCCAAGTGCTAGGAATAAAGGCGTGCGCCAACACCGCCAGGCTTATTTTCTTTCTTTCTTTCTTTCTTTCTTTCTTTCTTTCTTTCTTCCATGATTTTTGTGTGTATTTGGCATTTTGCGTACATGTCTCTGTGAGGGCATCAGCTCTCCTTGAACAGAGTTACAGACAAGTGTGAGCTGCCATGCGGGTGCTGGGAATTGAACCTGGATCCTCTGGAAGAACAGCCAGTGCTGTTAACCACTGAGCCATCTCTCCATCTCCAGCCCCATCACTTTTACTTTTATTTCTGAGACTATCCTTTCTCACTATAGCTCAGCTGGATTCAAATTTCTGGCAATTCTCCTGCCTCAGCCACCAGTGTGCTCTACTAAGACCTTTCATGAGGGATTCACCACTGTGGTACTGTGGCACTGGCAGACCTGCCTCCACAGCCTAGGGGATGCTGCACTAGACGATGACGTGGAGCCAGTGACCATGTCCCGCCTCCATGGGCTCTGTATGGACAGATTTTGTTCCCACACTGTCTCAGCAACAGGTCCTCAACCCTGGACCCTCCTCCCTCTGCTCTCCATGTACTGGTGTGACAGGCGTGTGCCATCATCCCCAGCGTGTCCAGTGTATGCAAGGCTTGACCCATGTGGTGGCACACTGCTGTCCACCATGCACTCAGGAGGCCTGGGCTACATAGGAAAACCTTGTCTCAAAACATAACAAAACAAAAGACCAAAATGCATGGTCCTGGCAGAGCCATGCTGAGAATAGCCCTTTGGGAATCAGCGGGCATCTATGGTACCTGTCCCTGTGGCCTCCAGTGAACATTCTCGATTCTTCAGGCCCAGCACTGTCCCCAGAGAACTCTGGACTACATCATGAGACAAGTGGGACTCCTAGCAGGGAGTGTGTGGAGGCCAGGGACCCTGCTCAGGACCTGGCAGAGATGACTGGACATGGTGCTCATGGTGCCTAGGCGGCCTTGAGCTCCCCTGTCCTGTAGAAACTCTGAAACCTAGGTATGGGGTGCAGGCCTGTCATCCCAGCACTTGGGAGGCAGAGGCAGGAGGATCAGAAATGAAGTCCTTGTTGACTGCATATCCAGCTCAAAGCCACCCTAGGATACACGAAACCCTGCCTCCTGCAGCCTCCTGCAGCCTCAGGATACAGGAAACCCGGCCTCCAGCAGCCCCTGCCCCAAGGAGACTTTTAAGTCAGTCATAGTGTTTTAAATCTCAGTGTTCAGGAGGCTGAAGCAAGGGGATTAGGGCCAGCCTGGGCTACATGAGGTTCTATTTGTTTGTTTCTTTGGTTGGTTTTCTAGACAGGATTTCTCTATGTATCCCTGTTTTGGAACTCACTCTGTAGACCAGGCTGATCTCAAACTCAGAGATCCCCCTGCCTCTGCCTCCGGAGTGCTGCGATTACAGGTGTGCATCTCCACCGCTGTCAACTATATAAGATTTTTAGTCAAATAACAAAACAGCCTTTGCACAACCTGACAGCTTTGTATATGGGCCTGTGTTTTGAACCTGTTCATCCCTGCCCTGGGCCCTGGCTGTGACATTCTCACTGTGCAGTTTTGGTTGCTGCCCTTACTGCCCCTCACCCCACCAGCCCCTGGAGCCCCTGCCTAAGGCCAGCTGGCAGGCTTAGCACAGGCCTTGCTTTTGCAGTGGGCTGAGGCCTTGAGCGTGTTCCAGCAGGCGGCCGACTGGATCGGCCTGGAGTCTCGCAAGTCCCTGTGGGGTCAGTTCTGGTCAGCGCACCAGCGCTTCTTCAAGTACCTGTGCATTGCAGCCAAGGTGCAGCGGCTGGTGGAGCTGGCCCAGCAGGAGCTGAGCCAGGACAAAGTGAGTGCCAAGGCCAGCCTTGAGGCCGTGACCCTGATAGCTGCCACCTCCCCTCCTAGTTGGATGGTGGGATGCCTGGAGGCTAGGCAGGTCCTCAGGGGGACTTGATAAGATGGGCTAGTCACCCTGGAGCCAGCTCAGACACTCCATCCCCGCAGTGTGTAGTCATCGGTCTGCAGTCTACAGGAGAGGCACGGACCCGCGAGGTGCTGGATGAGAATGAAGGGCGCCTGGACTGCTTTGTCTCAGCTGCAGAGTGAGTGACGAAAGTTATGGGGACACAACAGGCACCAGGGCAGCCTTGGATGGGGGACTCCCTGGTGTGTCATCTTGAATGGCCTATTGCTACCCCTTGACCCTCAGCAACTGTGGAAAGCCAGGAGGGGCAGGACCAGACAGGAATCTTGAGGGTGGCCCTTGGGTCTGGAGGGCACATCACTGCTAGGGTCTCAACAGGAAACTTTTGGACATCTGCCCCTACACAGGTAGTACCATTTTAACACAGTATAATGGGCTTCTCAGGTCTGGCCTGTTGTGCCCTCACAGGCTGACAGAAGTCACCTCAGTCCACCCTAGGGAAGCTTCCCCCTGCCAATCCCACACAGGGGCTCCAGTCTGGGACCAGTGTGTCCCATTGGCACTCCTCTCCCTGAGGCGCATGCTGTGGCGGCTGTGCTGAGCACTCTTCTCCTCTGCAGAGGCGTCTTCCTGTCGCTCATTCAGAAGCACTTCCCTTCCACCCGGAGGAGGCGAGACCGGGGAGGCGGAAAGAGGAAAAGTAAGAGCCCACCAGGTTCCTCCTGGCTTTGTGTGCTCCACCCCCCACCGCCTGGAGAACTGTCCCCATTCTAGTGTCCTATACCAACCCATCTGAGTATGCACATGGTCATCCAAAGTAGTGTAAGGGTGTAGGCAGGACTGGCCTTGTCCCTGCAGGGCGCTTAGAGAAGCAAAGTTCTGGGACAAGACCCCGGTGGGCTCCAATCTCAGGCCACCCATCCAGCCAGCCCCACTCGCCAAGGCCTTTAGGACCCCTGTGTCATTGCCCAGCTCCAGCCCCACTCGCTGGCAGATGGGGCAGCCTCTGTGTGCTGCACAGCTGTGCTTCTTGGCTGTGTCCATGCTGATTGTAAGGATGGGACTGTGCCCAGAAACACAGGTCAGAGCACAAGGCCACCTACTTTCCAGTGCACAGATCCTCAAAGCCAGACTCAGAGAAGCCAAGTCATTTACCTGCAGACACACAGCCGGCATGAAGGACAGGACAGTGCAGGGCGCTCCCACTCCTGAGTCCCTAGGACATCCACAGGCCCTTACCTCTGGCAGCCTACAGCACTGAGAGGAGGTCCCTGAACTTGTCCCTGGAGCAGGGTTTGACAGCCTCTGAGCCTCTCACTCTCCAGTGGAATTCAGCCATGAAGCCAGCCAGGGCTGAGCATGAGGCCGTGATGTCTCAGTTCACCTTGCCCTCCCAGAAGTGGGGCTGGGGTCTTCCTGGAGGAAACAAGACACCGGAAGAGCACAGGAAGCCTGCCCCATCCTAATCAGGCCTCACTAGTGCCCTCGGTGCCTCCTGCCCCCTGCCCTGCACTCCAGCTTTACCCCTGCTTCAGCTTCCCCACCCCTCCTGCAGGGCGGCCCCGGGGGCGCGTCCCCAAGGCTCCCAGACTGGCTCTGGAGGCATCAGGAGTGATCCGTATTAGCGATGGCAGCAGCACAGAGTCAGATGCTGGCCTGGACAGCGACTTCAATTCATCCCCAGAGTCCCTGCTAGATGACGATGTGGTCATCGTGGAGGCCCCCACGCTCCCCACAGATGACCGAGGTGAGCCTCCATCATCCAGCCGTGCTCCACACAGCAGATACAACACCCACGGGGGACAGGGAAAGTGAGACTCAAAGCCTGTCAGGCACAGGAGGGCGACTCTGTCCCGCTTGGCCCCACCCCTGCTGCGACCTCACTGACACTGTCGTTCTTCCCTCCCTCTCCAGGTCCCCTGTACCCACTTCAGAGAGACCAGCAGGGGCCTGGTGTCCTGGACCGGGTAGAACGGCTGAAACAAGGCCTGCTGGCCAAGGTGCGCACACTGGGCCGGGAGCTGCCGGTGAACACATTGGACCAGCTCATCCACCAGCTTGGGGGTCCTGAGTGTGTGGCTGAGGTGAGCCACCATAGGGACGGACGGGGTGGGGCCTGACTGCAGAGGGAGGTGAGAGATGGGTCCGCAGACACTCTTCGGTTGGACCTGAGGACACCAGCACACATGTGCCACACAGACACATATACATATATAAAATAATTACTATTTTCTAAAAAGAAAGCAAAGAAAGACAAAGGCAGAAATCCTCATGGGCTGAGGCCACACTGGAAACCAAGTCCCTGCACAGGGTACCAGCAGGGCTACCACACTGGTAGCTGGTGGGGGTCTCCTTTTTCTCTCCTCAACCAGATGACTGGCAGGAAAGGCCGTGTAGTGTCCAGGCCTGATGGGTCGGTGGTCTTTGAGTCCAGAGCAGAACAGGGCCTGTCCATCGACCATGTGAACCTCAGGGAGAAACAGCGCTTTATGAGCGGCGAGAAGGTGGGGCCTGGTGCGGGGCAGCGAGGGGCCCAGGTGCCCTGGGGTGCTCCCAGCACAGCTCTGCAAGGGAGTGACCATGGGGACCCAGAGCTGAACAGTGAGAAGGCCCCCAACACCCTGTCCCATCGCACCCCCACCCCCAGCTTGTGGCCATCATCTCTGAGGCCTCCAGCTCCGGTGTCTCCCTCCAAGCCGACCGCCGGGTCCAGAACCAGCGACGCCGGGTACACATGACCCTGGAACTGCCTTGGAGCGCAGACCGCGCCATTCAGCAGTTTGGTGAGGCCCCTAGCCCTGGCCCGGGTTGTTCCTTCCCCGAGACCCCATCCCAGTCACTAGAGCCTCTTTGTCCTCAGGTCGCACCCACAGGTCCAACCAGGTCTCAGCGCCCGAGTATGTCTTCCTCATCTCGGAGCTGGCCGGGGAGCGCAGGTTCGCCTCCATTGTGGCCAAGCGGCTGGAGAGCCTGGTGAGCAGATGGAGCAGGGGCGGAGGGCGAACCTGGGGAAGGTCAGGAAATGATGGAGCCTGAATCACAAATGGTCCTGGGTCACTCTGGCAGGGTGCCCTGACCCACGGAGATCGCAGGGCCACCGAGTCCCGAGACCTGAGCAAGTACAACTTCGAGAACAAGGTAAGTAGAGGGGGGGGGGAGGTCACTCTACCCCGGCCCCACTCACACCGCCTGCCCCACAGTACGGCACCCGCGCTCTCAGCCGAGTCCTCACCACCATCCTGGGCCAGACGGACAGCAGGGTGCCCCTGCCCCAGGGCTACCCGGGAGGGGATGCCGCCTTCTTTCGTGGTGAGCCTTTCTGGGAGGCATGCAGACTACAGCGGGGCTGGTTCCATCGGGATTTGGGGACCGGGTGCATGGGTGGGCTTCTAGGGAAAGGACTTGGCAGCCCCCCCCCCCCCCCGGGGTCCAAGACTAGCGGCTGGTTTACCCTCGCAGACATGAAGCAGGGCCTGCTCTCTGTGGGCATTGGTGGCCGTGAGTCGCGCACTGGCTGCTTGGATGTGGAGAAGGGTGAGTCCCGGGAATACTGGAAGGTGATGGTGCAGGGGCCACTGAGAGGGCCCGAAGGCGCCCTGAGACTCAGCTCTGCCCGCAGACTGCTCCATTACCAAGTTCCTGAACCGCATCCTGGGGCTGGAGGTGCACAAGCAGAATGCTCTGTTCCAGTATTTTTCTGACACCTTTGACCACCTCATCGAGATAGACAAGAAGGAGGGCAGATACGACATGGGCATTCTGGGTAAGCTTCCGGCTAGGGCTGGAGTTCAGGCGCTGGGAGCCCCTCATGGGATCCAGGGCCAATACATTGTGTATTTGAAGTCTACGGTTGAGAAGCTGCAGACGAGGACCAGAGATTGGTCCAAGCTGCTGTCATTGTACGTGTGATCACCTGGGAAGCTCATGCTAGAGACCCACACAGTGCAGCTACAGCACGAGGGTCTCAGCGCTTTCCAAAAGACTACGTTTTTTTGTGTCGGCTGCATTAAGAGCCAGCCTGGGCTACATGCCAGCTGCGTGTTGTGCTCCCTGGACAGAGCTCCTGTTGCTACTCCACCTGCCGACCGACCCAGGGCTGGTAAAGGTGGTTCCTCCAACCGCACAATGACCTCAAGGCCAGCCTGAACTACTGAGACCTGTCTCGGTGTAAACAAATAGGGAGACTGGAGAGGTAGTTCAGCGGCCTGCTCGCCTTCCCCACCCCACCCCACTGCTGTAACCCCAGCTTCAGGGGATCTGATGCGTTCTTCTGGTCTCTGTGGGCATGCACACACATGCAGATAAATGCCCAGAAACAAAGATAAAACTTTTTTTAAAAAAAGACAGCTCTCCTTGGCAACAGGACACAGTCCATCTTTGCAGTTGTGCACAGCAAGACACCAGGGACCCTAGACTAGAGGGTTCCCTGACACCCACAAGACATCTGGTCTCCAGGCTTTTGGTCCCTCTGCGCACTCACGGGGTCATCTCTGTGGTATATCAGAGAATCAGTTGTCTTGTCCTGGCCGCTGACCACCATCCTCTCCTCAGACCTGGCCCCTGGCATCAATGAGATTCATGAAGAAAGCCAGCAGGTGTTCCTGGCACCTGGGCACCCACAGGATGGGCAGGTGGTCTTCTATAAGGTGAGCAGGGAGCCACCCAGCCCCCGCCATGGCTACAGCCCCCGAACCTGCTAACACCCTGTTCACCACTGCAGATCAGTGTGGACCGCGGCATGAAGTGGGAAGAGGCGCTCACCAGGTCTCTGGAACTGAAAGGCCCCTATGACGGTTTCTACCTCTCCTACAAGGTGAGTGGACCCACTCCTGGTAGGTGCCCCACCTGCCCAGAGACCCTGGTGGGCAACCGTGGTGACTCTTGGGCCCTAGGTACGAGGCAGCAAGATGAGCTGCCTCCTGGCGGAACAGAACCGCGGTGAGTATTTCACCGTCTACAAGCCAAACATCGGCCGACAGAGCCAGCTGGAGACCCTGGACAGCCTGTGCCGCAGGTTCCACCGGGTATGGAAGGACCACCCTACCCTCCCGTGGCAGCTGAGAATGTGTGGGGAGGCCCCTGAGCCCGTTTCCCTGCTGACTTGGGCCTTCATCCCCAGGTCACCGCGGAGGAGGCCCGGGAGCCTTGGGAGAGCACCTATGCCCTGTCGCTGGAGCACTGCAGCCACACCACCTGGTGAGGCCTGGCGGGAGGCGGGGCCGGGCGCCCAGTGTCCCAGGGCCTTGTGGGCTGGGAAAGCGCATGCTGCTAGCTGACCAGTGATCCCCTGGTACAGGAACCAGCGCTGCCGACTGGCACAGGAGGGCAAGGGCTGTGCCCAGGGCCTGCGCCTCCGCCACCACTACATGCTGTGCGGGGCGCTGCTGCGCGTGTGGGGCCGCATCGCCGCCGTCATGGCAGACGTCAGCAGCAGCAGCTACCTACAGATCGTGCGCCTCAAGACCAAGGACAAGAAGAAGCAAGTGGGTAAGTGGGGCGGCGGGCACGGGATCCCCAGAGAAAGGATTGCCAGTTATCGTCCCCAGGCAGACATGACCGCGTGTCCTCCCTACTGCAGGCATCAAGATCCCTGAGGGCTGCGTTCCGCGCGTACTGCAAGAGCTGCGGCTGATGGATGCCGAGGTGAAGCGCCGCAGCACCCATGGGCTGGCCGCGCGTCCACCCACTCCACGCGCCATCGCGCTTCCCTGCGGTCCTGGTGAGGTGCTGGATTTGACCTACAGTCCCCCGGCCGAGGCTTTCCCGCCACCTCCACGCTTTGCCTTCCCTTCGCTTCCGCCTCCCGACCCCAGTTCTCTGATGCTGGGCGCAAGAGACCCTGCAACCAACCCCGCAGAGCTGGCACACCAGGGCTGCGACATCAATTTCAGGGAAGTGTTGGAGGACATGCTCCGCTCTCTGCGCGCAGGGCCCACCGAGACCCCTGCGCCTCTGGTGGGCATGGGTGGTGGGGGTACAGAGCGGCAGAGCGTCATCCACTTCAGCCCACCCTTCCCGAACTCGTAGGCGGCCACCATGGCCCCTGGATTACAACTGTCCTGGGCAGCAAGGCCCACACCGGCTCCTCTGCGAGCAAAGAGGTTCCCATGACTACTGAGGGCACCTGGCCGCAGTGCCTTACCCGCCAGCTGGGTGCGGGGCCTCTCCTGCTCTGCTCCACACGCCCAGCCTGGAGGCCGTGGGGCTTGGTGGTCCCAGAGAGCTGGTAACTCAGGAAATCCGGTGCTGAGACCCCGCCATCTATGGGGACTCCACGGGGCAGATCCCGTTAATATATGCAATCCCCTCCTCCCTAAATTATTGTTACCCGCCACTTCCCAGCCCGGGAACCCGTGGGCAGCTAGCGGGCCCTGGTTTCTATGTATTTATAATGAACTCTGGTGTATATATGTAAAGACCTTTTTTAAAATATATGCGCCTTTTGCCTACTTCCCAGTGTGCTGTGGCCTGCAGGTCAGTGGAAAGGGGGGACCTGAGGGTCACAACAGCCGCGCCCCTCCCCCCTTGAGAGTAGACACAGATGACAGCTTAGTCAGCAAACCTATCCTCTTGTTGGCTGGAGATGGAATTCACCCTAGGGCAGTTGTAGTCGGGGCTGGGGGTCCTCAATCAGTGGAGGGAAGGCTGAGGCAGGTGGCCATCTACTGGCTAAGCCCACAGTCCTAGGGTCACAAAGCTCACAGCCACACAGAGGTGCCATGGGACTTCCAGACCTGCCCCAGAGGTTCTGGCTCAACCACGCCCACTGCTGGTAGTCCCCACAACCCCACTTAGAACATGGGACAGCTTACACACATGCATGAAACTCTAAAGCAGCTTCCCAGACCTCAACCCAAGTGGCCTCCTAACAGATTAGGGCCCTCCTAGGAACAGCCCTGCCCACACTCTGGTCCTTCCTGTTGGCCTGGGCAGAGCCTCAGGGATTACTAGGGAACTAAAACCTGCTGACCCAGTTCCGGACCTGCAGAGTCCTGGGGCACAGGCATGGCCATCTAATCCGCAATGCGCTCAATTCCTGACCCGAGGACACACACGTGTTTCAACATTTTATTCCCACAAGGCAGCCAAGGTGAAGCTCGAGCCCGGGCCACAGGCCTCGGGACCTTCCTCCGGCGGGTGCACGCCAGGTCCTCAGGACTGCCCCACCAGCAAGCTGGTTTGCAGGCAGGCCGTCATGAGTGCCGGGGTGGAAGGCTCCAGGGGTCACAGGGCAGAGGGGCTCGGTGGGGGCACACACTTGTAGGGCTAGAGATAGCACGGCAGGTCTTTCTCTATCACCAGGGGCTCCTCCATGGGACCATAGCGCTTCATCACGCAGCCATTCTTATCGATGAGAAACTGTGGGACAGAGAATGCGGTGACAGAGTGCAGGGGAGTTGGGTTCCCCCACACACACACACTGTATGCCACTCTTACCTTGGTAAAGTTCCATTTAATGGCACTGTTAAGAGAGCGAGGGAAAAAAGAGGGCTTAGCAGTGGTACCCACTAGGACATGGGGGTGCACACCTTTAACCCTAGCACTCAGGAGACAGAGGCAAGCATATCTGAGTTCAGCCAGCCTGGGGAACACTGTGGGTTTCAGGCCAGCCAGGGCTAGCTATACAGTTAGACCATGCCTCAAAAAAAAAGGGGGGGTCAGTTAAAATCATAGATTGTTCTCCTGAAGAAGGGGAGTGACATTCCCAGCACCCACATCACATAGTGGCTCACAAAACTCTGTAATTCCATTTCCAGAGAATCACAGGCCCTCTTCTGACCTCTTAGAGCGTTAGCCATGCATGTAGTACACAGACATACATGCAGACAAAATACCCATACACAAAATGAAAATAATCTGGGGAGGGGTGGGTGGAGACAGGCCTGTGGTTAAGAGAATTGTAGCCACAGCATCCACAGTGGCTACAGTCTACCACTCCCCTCTGGCTCCAGCTCTGGGAGGTACAACACCCTCTTCTGGCCCCTGCATGCACTACATCCCGGTAGTGCACATAAATACACTCAGGCAAAGCATTCATACACATAACATGCAAATAAATCTGAGACTGGGCCAGATGGTGCACACCTTTAACCCCAGCATTTTTGGAGGCAGGGCAGGCAGATAGATAGATCTCTATGAATTTCAGGCCAGCCAGAGCTACACAGTGAGATCCTGCCTCAAAACAAACCAAAAAGCTGGCGCCTGCTCCCATCCTGGTCTAGTCATCTGGCTACCCTGTCCACTCCCCCAGGGCCACTCACTTTCCCAGCATGCCCCTGCCCTTGGGCTGGACTTTCATCCATTTCCACAATGGGTGGGCATCGTCCCCATTTACACAGATCTTGCTGTACATGTCAAACTTGACATTGTAGCCGGCTGCAAACTCCTTGATTTCTTGATTACTTCCTGGTTCCTGTGGGTAGCAATAGACTGTGGTAAGGTGGATGAAAGAGAGACAGATACACACACTAACACAGCACCCCGACTCTGGGCACTGCCTGGGACCATTACGCACCTGCTTCCCGAACTGGTTGCAGGGGAAGGCCAGGATTCGTAAACCACACTCAGCATATCGGGCATGCAGATCGACTAGCTGAGTGTAGTTTACGTCGGTTTTGCCTCATTGTGAGGCCACGTTGGTGACGATACAAACGAAACCCCTGGGAGAGGAAAAGTAGGAATGAGGTCACCGTCAGGGGAGTCACTTTTTCAGACCGGTCTTGCATCACCCACACAACCAGGCACCCACTTGTACTTATCCAGGCAAATCATGTGCCCGTCGATGTCCTTGGCTGAGAATTCGTGCATGGAGCGCGCACAGCGCCAATCATCACGGGACGCGCACTGTAAAACAGGGAGACTGAGTGTCCTACCCCAGGTTTCCCAGGGACAGAGTACCACACCAACAAAAAGAATGCCCAGGAGCACTGGGCTGCGGGGAAGACCAAGGCTCCTCCGGCTTCTGTGCATCTGCCCCCTTCAGGGCGTTCTGAAAGGAGCTGTGGAGCCTCTAGAAGATGCTACCAGGGGAGGGGGCGGTAGGGGTACCCCTGGCCGCACACCGAGCCCAGGAGCTCGGCGCAGCTGCTGTCCTGAGCAGGCTCCTGCAGTAGCGGCCCAGGATTGAAGGGCCCGGGCGCCGAATCCGTCCCGCGAGGGCGCGCCCTCCTAAGGCGGCGCTCTCGAGCTTTCCTCCTCCTCCTCCTCTGGCGGCTCGGGCGCTTCCGAGTATTTCGGGGTCGAGGTTCGCGCCGTCGCCGGCCTCCCGGGGACCCGCCACGTCCCGGGCTGCCGGCGGCCGCGCGGCCCATGCTTCCCCCGACTGGGAGTCCCGAGGGCAGCGCGGGGACAAAGAGCCGGTAGCCAAGGTGCCGCCGATTGTGACGCACCAGGCCGGGCGGGGCGCTGGACCAGGTCAGAGCCCGCTATGGTGACCCCGACACCGGTTCCCACCCCCAAGGAACCTCCCCCGCCAAGGCCTGACCGCCTTCTGCCCGGGGACTGCCTCCCGGAGTCCGCCTTCCCACCGGGGGACCCCCTAGTCTAGCTAACACGACCCCCGGTCTCCACCCTGGACACGGGAACCCAACCCCGGACCCTGTCCCCACCAGATCGCCCACACGACCGCTGTGACCGCCATCCCCCCAGGTCTCCGGGGTGCCCACCATGGTGCCTGCGAGGCCTGGAGCAGCCAGAGCCCCGCACAGCAGCGCGGGCTTCAGTAAGCGGCTCAGTCGGCACCAGCTCATCGCGGCGGCCGGAGCCACAGCTCCTCCCCTCACACAGCCGGCCAATGTGCGCGATGCCAAGTCAGACTTGCCCGCCCTCGGCCACGCCCACTGACGTCTCTTATTGGTCGGGTGCGCCAAAGACGCGCGGCCCCTACAGCCAATGGGAAGTGGGGCGGGGCTTGAGGGTTTGTTGTTGTCAGCAACTGCGCAGACTCAATAGTGGAATAGACGGAGAAATGGAGCGGCGTCCTCGCGGAAGCGCGTTGGGGTGCCCTGGACAGTTATCCGCGAGGTTGCCTGCGGCGGGCAGGGAGCCGGGGCGCTGAGGGGAACACTTGGGAACACAAAGCGAGGCTAAGCCACCCCCCTAAACAGCCCCGTTGAGTACGAGAGCTTCCATTTCTAGGAGAAAGTATCGTGTAACTCCTGGTCCGCTTCTCTCAGCCCCCTGCGGGCTGGAATCGCGGGTGTGTGCCACCCCGCGTCCCCTCTATTTCTCTTTTCTCCTTTTTCAGAGCTGGTCTCACGTAGTCTAGGCTACCCTCAAACTCACTGTGTAGCCGGGACAGCCTCACTCATGACCCTCCAACCTCCACTTCAGAACTGGGATGACAGATACACAGCACCATTTAGAGCTGGGATGGAACCCGGGGCCTGGAGCATGCCAAGTGCGAGCCCTCAGCCCAGACATAGCCCCCCCCCCCCCCCCCGGCTTGGAACTGACAGCCCCACCCTGTCCCCCGTGATAACGAGGGAGGACTGTACAGATTGATTCACGGGAAGATTGGTTTGAGGGGTGTGGCAAGAGGGCTCTGAGTAACGTAATTGCCCTGCGAACACCGCAAAGAGCTCCACGCAGACCCCAGCACCGCATGAGCTTCTGTAATCCCTGGGGCCAAGTCAGGACGGTCAAATGCCCCCCAAACAACATGGAGACAGGCATGGTGGCCACACCCTCAACCCCAACCCTTGGAGGCAGAGGCCAGCCTGGTCTAGTAAGCAAGTTTCAGGTCAGCCACCCCTAAATGACCTCAGGTTCCTGCACGAAGAAAAGAAGCCAAGGGTCTTGAAGGCCTGAGCGAGAAAGTAAATGCCCCACAGTTTGCCCCAGGCCTCTAAACCCAGCACTGCTGGCCCTTTGTCCTCCCGGTGTGGGGAGACCCAGCGATGTGACACAGGAAATTCCTCAGCCCAGCTGCTTGTCCGCCCCACCCCCAGGATTCTAATCCCTAAACCAGCCCTTTGTCCTCCCGGGAGTAGTCCACTAGCACCAGGGTGAAGAGACTCCAAGGCCTCAGGACGTCAGCTGTTTCCTCCCAGCCCCCATTCCCCGGCTCTTCCAGCCACCTGAGGTCTGCCCCGTACCTAGAGGCTCAGATTGGCCACGCCCTCACAGGGTGGCTGGGAGGTTCTAGCTCCCTGCTTACTGTCAACTGAGAAAAAGGCAGAACTGCGGAGACCTTGCGCTGGGGCTGAAGGCGGCCACTCGGAGGAGGGGCCCAGCCTCTGCTCTGGGAGGGACTCGCAGGTGGAATATCTGCTTTTCCCAAAAAACCCCAACTTTGCCCTAATTTCACCAATTAGGAAATGAAGTCCTGGGGTTCAGACGCCACCACAAGAAGCCACTTAGAAGACCCTGAGAAGCCACTAGCTCCAGGACCAGGATTGAGATCTGGCTTTTACTATTGTTATTCTGGAGACAGGCACTCAGGTAGCCCAGGCTGGCCCAGACCAGGTGTCTCCTCTTTTCCCAGGCTAACCTGAGCTCCCGCTAGCTTTCCAACTCCTGCTTTCCTGGCACTACAATGGCAGCTGCACATCCGCCAGCAGAGACCTGCGAATTAGAAGTTGGCATTGTAGGCCCGGTGCTGGTGGCGCACACCTTTAACCCCAGCACTCGGGAGGCAGAGGCAGGCAGATCTCTGTGAATTTGAAGCCAGCCTGGTCCGCAAAGCACGTTTTAAGACAGTCAGGACTACACACAGGGAAAAACCAAAAAAAAAAAAAAAAAAAAAAAACCCACAGTAAAATGGAGCATGAATCCCAACAGCCAGGGGTTGGGGAAGCCCAAGGGCAAATAGTGTGGCCCTTACACGCTAGAGTACTACTGTGCCCGAGAAGCCGCAGACTGAGGCGGGCCAAACTCCGAGTTAGCTTAAGGTGTGCTACTTTCAGGGTTTACGCTGTGGAACATTTGTTTAACAATACAAAAATGTGTTCATCCTCAAAAAACAGAACAGTACAAAACCAGAGCTTGGCCAGTTAGGGTCCATTCCTGTCACACGAAGAGACAGCCAGATTCACAGCAGTCCCCAGAACCAAAGCCCTGGCGGTCACAGGCCAGTCACCGCTGTGCGGGCCAGGCCTGGTCTGACTCCCTCTCTTCCTCCACAGACTCAGACATTATCACTATGCTTTGGCCTCAGTACAGATCATTGGACAAAAATTGGAGCGCAGATTCTAACACCTGCTACCACACAAACACAGCAGGATTCTGTCAGCCACAAAAGAGCCCTGGCCTGTGGGGCAGCTATTCAGAAGACTTTTCTCTCCTTCCTTTCTTTCTTTTTTTTTTCTTTCTTTCTTTCTTTCTTTCTTTCTTTCTTTCTTTCTTTCTTTCTTTTCTTTTTCTTTCTTCCCTTTCTTCCTTCCTTCCTTTCTCTCTTCCCTTTCTTTTTCTTTCTTCCCTTCTTCCTTCCTTCCTTCCTTTTTCTTCTTTCTTTTTCTTTTTGATCTTCTGAGACAAGGTTTCTCTGTGTAGCCCTGGCTGTCCTAGAACCCACTCTGTAGACCAGGCTGATCTTGAACTCAGAGCCACTGGCTTCTGCCTCCAAGGGCTAGGATTAAAGACGTGCGCCACCACTGAAGGGACATGCACATATTAGGGTGCTCTCTCTCAGACCCCCGGATTAGGCACAAACCACACCCACACTCCAGTTTCCACAGAGATCATGTATTGAACAGGGAAGGAAAGTTAAAGTGGCTGCTCTCCGATCCGGGCAGCCAGCAGCAGCGAGGGACCTTGCAGGTGTAACGTCTAAGAATAGAAGAAAGGGAGGTCTGTGTTAGAATGGGCTAGGGTGTGGTGGTATATTTGATTGGGCATGTTAGTTTGGTGAATCAAAGTGGGCCTTTTGATTGCTGTACTTCAATACATTTATAGCTGGACCATGGTCGTCAGCTGCAGGAGAAGGAAGTAGGCAAACACGGAATAGACCTTGGGGGCTAGCTTTAGGAGCCTTCCCCGGGGGAGTTGGGAAAGGCAAGGCCTGGCAGAGTACCCCCTTCTCATTGCACAGTTGTGTCTGGCACAATGAGCCTGTGACTGGCAGCTTATCAGAATGCCAGAACTCCTCTGATTAATCTTAAAACTCTGAACCTTTGAAATCTTAAGTAATAACATCATAAAGCACACCGGTGGGAAGATCTGAAGCATTTTTCATTTGGAATAACTTTAAATCACCTTTTTAATCCAATAATAATTTGCCATGAGGCACAGGTGGTTGGTAACCGAGAGCATCACTGCTAAAGAAAGGAATAGTAAGAAAATTACATTGACATTCAGCCAGCGTTTGGGGAGACGGACCTTAGGTCCACCTTAGACCATGGCCAAGTTTCTCCAACCTTCAAGGAGAGAAGGCCCTGGCACTAGTAGCCAATCCCTGCTGAAACCCCTGCAGACATTTAGAGCATGTGAAACTAATTTAGAGTAGAGAGCGGTATCTTCACGGCTGCAGTGAAGGCGCAGGGTGGTTTGGTGACCTCTGAGGCATGGATGTGCTGTGGTATCAGACAGATCATAGGCCAATGTGGCATCGTTGGCTATGGTGCTTGGAGACTGATCCTTAACATCTGATTTTATCTGAGGTTTTGTATCAGGCTTTCCTTTGGAACACTAACCAGAAACTCAGTAGTTATGAATTCTGGGCCTCAGCCCTTCACTTAACCTGTTTCCCTCCACGCTTTCCTCTGGGCTTTTTACTCTTCCTTCCTTCCGCATGTCCTCCACATCCAGCTGGCTGGCTTGCTGGCCACAGGCATCTCCTGCTCCCTCTTCCTTTCTCTCTCCTCCTCCTCGCTCCAGCCCTGCCTATCCATCCTATCCATCCTCTGCCTACCTATTGGCTACTCAACTTTTCATCAGAGCAATCAGGTGCCTTAGGCAGGCAAGATGTAAGATGGAATCTCAGAGTTGTTGTGATTTTCATACATTTCCTTAAGCGTCTTTCAGCCATTTTAGATTCCTCTGTTGAGAGTTCTCTGTTTAGGTCTGGACTCCATTTTTTTTGGAGTGTTTTTATTATGTATTCTTTTGGTGTCCAATTTCTTGAGTTCTTTGTATATTTTGGAGATCAGACCTCTGTTTGATGTGGGGTTAGTGAAGATCTTTTCCCATTCTGTAGGCTGTCGTTTTGTCTTGTTGACCATGTCCTTTGCTTTGCAGAATCTTTTCAGTTTCAGGAGGTCCCATTTATTAATTGTTTCTCTCAGTGTCTGTGCTGCTGGGATTATATTTAGGAAGTGGTCTCCTGTGCCAATGTGTTCAAGTGTACTTCCTACTTTCTCTTCTGTAAGGTTCAGTGTGGCTGGCTTTATGTTGAAGTCTTTGATCCATTTGGACTTGAGTTTTGTGCATGGTGATAGATATGGATCTATTTTCATTTTTCTACATGTTAATATCCAGTTATGCGAGCACCATTTGTTAAATATGCTTTCTTTTTTCCATTTGATATTTTTTGCTTCTTTATCAAAG